TTAAAAAATAATTAGTTCTTGATCATGTCCCAATCTAGATTTATTGTTATTTGTTTGGAGACTGCTCGGTAACAAGGGTGCTGGAAACTAGTTAGAGTTTGAAAATCTAGAATAAATCATGTATATGGCATATTGGGCTGATTTTTGGATATGTTAGACCCCTTTGAGTCTAGTTTCATGTAAAACTGGAATTTTGTCATTTTACTCTGTATTTTAGGATTTATAGTACAAAGAGTGTGAACTGTCAAGAGGTCAAGTACCCATAAACAAATGGCAGCAACTCTGATTTTTAGAAAATCATCATAAGTTGTGTATTTCGTACCTAGACTTGATTTTTGGATATGTTAGAGCCCTATGAGTTTAGTTTCATGTAAAACTAGAATTGCATCATTTGAATCTGTATTTTGAGACTTATGGTAGAAAGAGTGAAAAGGGATCAAGTACCCATAAAGGAATAAGTTAACCCTAAAGTCATATTTTGTACCTTAAGCATATTTAGAAGTTTGATCATGATAAAATGACTTATAAAAGTATATGTGTATGTGTTTATAGACGCCGAAGAGCATGAGGTGCGAGACGCGATGCATTGATAAAAGGCGAAGACGTCATTTTTGTGAGTTGAATAATAATCATTGTGCCATGATGTGTTATTGCTATTGAGTGCTAATATTATATTTCTATTATATGAATGATGTGTCGTTTGCTAGTTGACGCAAACGTTATGTTTATTGATGTTATGTGTATTGATATTGATAGCATGATGTGAATGATGTGCCGTTTGCTAGTTGACGCAAACGTTATGTTTATTGATGTTATGTGTATTGATATTGATAGCATGATGTGAATGATGTGCCGTTTGCTAGTTGACGCAAACGTTATGTTTATTGATGTTATAATGGATATGTATCATGATGTAAGCCATGGATGTTGTATATGCTATATGTGAAACATTCATGATATATGCAAGGCTAAGAGGTTAAGGTTATGACTCGGCTTGTCCAAGTTTCTTAAATACAAGTTTACAAGGACCCAATGGGTCAATTACAAGTTATAAAAGCCGGCCAGCAATACATGTGTACAAGTTTACAAGTTACAAGTACCGGGGCGGAACTTGACATGTCCAAGTCATAACCGACAAGAAAAAGGAAAGCATGTAATCTTAGAGTCATATGAACTCCGTGTATTGTTTATATGTGATGATACTTGGATGATGTGATTGCATGTTATGGTTTCAATGAATTATTGTTCTCTCATTGAGTAGCATCTCATTAAAAATGCAATTACTTTTTAGGTACAAGAAGTTAAGAAGCTTAGAGCTTGTTTTGTCGCTCATTTCACAACATGAGTAACGATGTCGATCGACGATCTCCCTCTCCTCTCTCTCATTATGCCGAGCATATGCATCCTAGGAGAGTTTTGAATTGTATATGTAACTATGTAAATATGAACTCCTGGAGGTGTTTTGAGACGTGTTTATGAGCAAAGAAAAAGTGGTTTTGATTGAATATCCAAGGGTTATAAGTGGAAAGAATGTTGTTGATTAGTTGAATAATAATAAAAAAAAATCTAATCTTTCTAATATGAGGTTTTAACGATCCTAAGTGATATTTTGTGATTAATTGAGTTTTCTAGAACTAAAATGGTTAAGTTATACGAAGTTTTTGTAAGAAATTAGGTTAAGGACGCTACACAAACAAACGTGCTAGAGCCTTCCAAATGAATTAAGAGGGAGGAAGCTGTTGGATTGGATTCCTCCTCATGTAAGGCCCAACACGTATATAAAATAAGAAAAAAAAACAAATAGAAAAAAAATTTCTAAACTAATGTCGATCACCTAAGTGACCATTATAAAAGTCGTTTTTGGCTTTTAAATCTACAACATAAAACATCAATGACATAGGTGCAACGACCAAAAAGAGTAACATCCAAGTGCGTAGGCTGCAATGACTACAAAAGAAAAGGAGGACTAGAATTTTTGTCGAGAGAAGAGAGAAGAAAGAAAATTATGCTCTTCATCTATATTGCCTTGATCGGATGGTAATTTTAAATCTAGTCAAGATGATATTTTGATATATTGTTCCTAGAAACAAGCTTTTCAAGCTAAACCGTGTAGATTGTTGAGAAATTTTTACCTTTGGATGCTTTTAAAAAATTTATTTAGTGAGATCGAACTTCTTCTTATTGTGTTTTTTTTTTTTTTTGTTATTGCTGAAATCTGTCTTCGTCATGACTTTGATACTTTTATGTGTATCTCTGGTTGAGTTTAGAAAAAAGATATGTATGTCATTATTTGATATAGTAAAAGAGTTTGTCTGGATTATGGTCTTGTGATTTTTCTCTACATTAGGTTTTCAAGTAAAAATTCGTATGTTGATCGTGGATGTGTTTATTTATTTTTATATTAAATATTGTTAATTGGTTGATCTTAATTTTAATTTCACAATGGAAAAAAAAAACTAGTATTTGTAATTTGTAATTTTGGTTCATACATGTATTTTTTTTTCTCAATAATGGTCTACATCCACTATTTTTTTTAGCCTGAACGTTTATTCAATAGAGAGAGGTCTTTGTCATTTACGTGTCAACCTCAGTAGAGACTCTCTAAAGATGCAAATGTATCATCTGGATTTATTATTTTGTAACTTTGTTTTGTTTTGTTTTTTTTTTTTTTTTTTCCGAGTCTTGACATGAATAATTAAAAATAATAATGCAAGTAGAACTGGCATTGATGTTCGAATGATATGTTTGTCAGGTTATGGAATCAAAATCACGTTGGAGTTGGACACATTCAAAACCTGTGTAGTGCCACTGCCACAGCAACCAATCCCCACTATTTACAAGTACCGGAGATGCGATGGAGGTAAAAAAGTAGCTAAAATTTCAAATTCAAGAAAGAGAGAAAGAGAGAGAGTTTGGGTCTTGAAGCATGGGGTAAAGTATCCTACTTTCTTTTCTCATGGAAAAATGTGAGGATGATTCCGTCAAATTTGTTTGCTTCCGTATTCAGATTTTGCTGCTATTGTACGCTATATTCTTGCTATAGAAGTTTCGAAAGTTTAGTCTATTTGTGCTCCAGTTCCATGGCAAGGCATTCAGCCATGGAAATGAGTAGTTTCATGATTTTTCATAGAATTTCCTCCACTTTTGGCTTTTGCAGTCTCATTCCAGATATAATTTTTTTCATGTGTCTATTTTCACATTAAAAATAGATTTATAAAATAATATTACTAATTATTTTTTAAATATTATAAAATTTATCTCGTATTCTTGTTTGTTTGAGACGTTGCAAAAAAACTTGCTCTTTTTGTACTATCCCTTTCTTGAATGAGGGGGTTTTGATTCGTGTCATCTTCACATCTCAAGTCTTTTGATCTCATTTTAACAGATTAAACGTCTACCATAGTTGGATGAAACGTTTTTAAAAACAGTTTTAGACTGTGATTGTTATGTGGATGACCGACGCTGAGTTCTGGATAATAATAATAATAAAAAAAAATGATTGTTATGATGGAGTCGTTGGGGGCAAGTGCTATACAATGATCAACATTATTTCAGTGAATTGTTAAACAATTGAATATATATATACACACACTAGCTCCTACAACACATGTTTTCTATGTGATTTTTCTTTTTTTTTTTAGTACATACTATATAAATACACACACGTTATGTTCTTTATAATTTTTTTATCTGGATTTAGCTTTATATATCTTTTCGATTTCTGAAAGTATGCTGTCCATATATATATATATATATATATATATATATATATATATCAAATTAAAGAGCTTCATGATAACTTGTATCTAAAATTAAATAGTAACATTTGATACTATCATTCTCACTGTGCAGTTGTTTCTGAAATAAATATCACGGCATTAATTTAGTTGATAATTATTTAAAAAGTTTTGCTTGCGCACTCAAATAAATACCAAAAGTGCTTTGTAGAAATTCAATGGCTTTTGATTTTCACTTAATTGAACAAAAAAGTATTACATAATTTATATTAAAAATATTCTATATATCGTCCCAGTTTTGATTTGAGAATCGTGTTTGAAGCTTGACATTGGATTTCGATTGTCATAAGCAAACAGTGGAAGCAGGCCAGTAGTTATGATTTGTCACGGTAAGTGGACGACATTTTACCGTCAACTTGCACCATTTTGGACCATTTTTCAGTACAAAATTAAATGGCATACTTCAAATTCTACGCAGTTTTCCAAAAAAAAAATTACAGTACCGTTCTCACTGTGTAGTTGTTTCTGAAATAAATATCAAAGGCGTTAATTCAGTCAATAATTATTTAAAAAGTTTTGTTTACGCGCGGAATAATTGGAAGGGATGAAAAGGACCACCAAGGAAAATGGTCACGGTTCATGTTTTTTGTCCTGCGCTAATTTGAGCATATTCCTTTTCTTTTGTTAATTTGAGTATATAGAAAACCAAAAAATTTCAAAAGATAGGTCTCATAATTAAGAATATTTATTTTCTTTTTACAATTTTTGAATTCAAATCTTGAAATTAGTTTTTAGAAGAATTTATTGAATTTTTTTTAATACATTAGATCAATATGAAAAATACATTCTTGAGATCATTAAAAAAAAATCTTAATTTATGCAAAAACTGACCTAAAAATATTTTTATCGTTGAATAAACAAGGTAGAAAATGAAAGAAATTACAATTCATTTATTCTCTTTGAAAAAGAAAATTGGCAATTCAGTTGTTGTCATGTGCCAGCATATATTCTAATCTTAAAGATCAAAAACAATAAAAAATACATTCTCATTGCTGATTAGTGGGGGCGTAACATACACAAACTTAGATGGCATATCACAGACCACAATTCATAAGCCACTAAAAACCTATGGGCCTCACATTGTGAATCCCAGCCCACAGAGCCCTCCCAGGACGCTAACACCTTTCTTTCTTTCTTATCCACCCAACACCAAATGCATCTGTGAATCAAACACCAAAGAAAACATACCCAAAAAAAACAAAAATGGCACTCTCTCTGTCACTGAAACTCCAGCCAACACAGCGTCCATCAAAGCATAAATTGCAATTCAAACCTCCACCTCTCAGTATTAGCATCTCCCAATCCCACCCCAAAATACTCACCATCCCCAACTCAAAATCAAAAGAACGCCGAAGTTGTTTTGTAACCAAGGCAGTTGAAAAGGAGAGGATGGGATCGGAGGCAGTGGAGAAATCGGAAAAAGAGTCAGAGTCAGAGTCGTCGGTGAGTGAGCAATCAGTTGAGTCGGTGAGTGGAGAATTGGGAGAGGAGATAAAGAAGGCGATGATGGAGAGGAAGAGCAAGGAGGAAGGGAATTTGTGGAGTGGAGTGGCAAAGGAGATTCAAGAGATAGAGTGGCCTGCTTTTGGTAAGGTTTTGGGAACTACAGGTGTCGTCATTGGAGTTATTGTTGGGTCTAGTGTCGTTTTGCTTACCGTTAATGCCGTTTTGGCTGAGTTGTCCGATCGGGTTTTTGCTGGTAGAGGCGTTCAAGATTTCTTGAGCTAAAAAAAAAAAACCTGATGAGATATGAACCAGTCAGGTTTGGACAAGTGGCAGAAATTTTTTGACCTTTGGGTGTTGGTTTGAAATGGGATGGAAATCACTCGAGTTGTCTATCACATACCAATTATAGAGCTGTAGCTTTTTTTTTGGTGTTTTGTTTTGTTGATGTAATTTTTTTTTTAAGAGAAATTCAGTGGCTTTTGATTTTCAATTAATTGAACAAAGAAGTATTACATAATTTCCATTAGGAAGATTCTATATTCCCAATTTTGATTTGAGAATCAGGTTTGAAGTTTGACATTGGATTTCAATTGTTCATAAGCAAACAATGGTATCAGGCCAGCAGTGATGATTTGTCATTGTCGGTGGACAACATTTTACCGTCAACTTGCGCCATTTTGGACCATTTTTCAGTGAATGGTATGCTTTAAATTCAATGCAATTTTGCAGAGGCACATTAAAAAAAAAAAAAAAAGGACGTCAAATACATCGCAAGTAATTTACAAGAGCTAATTGTCTATTTACGTTGAAAGAAATAGAGCCTAAGTTTGGAATGCGATTTATGGACGCCCATGATTCGATTTTTCTCTTGTAGAAACTCCTGCAAAACCTGGATGGCTCAAGCCTCTAGGTTCTAATGTCATGCTTTCTGCCTCTCGCTTCACGGAGTCAAAACAAAACCGAGGATAGATGTCTCTCTCCAAAACTGGGAAAGACCACCTGCACAAAACAAAAATGATTAAAAGTAACAGATGGCTGATACAAATCGAACTTCCACATTGCCGAAAGCTAGAAGAAAAGGAGTCCCGAACATTCAAATCATGCAAACAAAATAGGTTATCCCATTCTTATTTCAAAAAAGGGTCATTAGTTTCATTGAATCTTCTGAACTTCGACACCCTAGCTATCTTATAAAAGGCTCTCAAAAATAAGTAAAAGAAATGAGAGGAAGGAGAAGCATAGGATCAAGTTAACATTCTCTTGCAGTTAACAAAAACACGAAAAGATTTGAAGTTTTCACTATTCATCTATACTGGATGCGCTATCCACTTAGACTTATGTGTACGATATAGTGACATTTTTGTAATTTTAAAGTTGTCTTGATATATTTATCTGAAGATTTTTTTTCGATATTGCACTTTGATTCCTAATGTTTTCAAATGATTTTATTTTGATTTTCAACTTCATTTGGGTCATAGTTTCATTCCTAAATACATAAAGTAGAAAAAAGTCATGATCGGCTCTAATTCGACCTCTTTTGTTATCAATCTTGTATTCATATTGTTTATCTTTAGTAATGAGAGTGTGTTCATGGTGATTTCAAACTATAAAATAATTGAAAGAGATAAATTGTAATAAAAAAAAATTGAATTTTATGATTTGATATATATATTTAATGTGCTTGGAAATGCTTTTTAATTTTTTTTCGTTTTTATTTTTTTCCATAATTTTTTTAAAATCTTTTTATTATTGAATTGGAGAGTAAATTATAAATTAGTCCATCCGATTTTGAGAAACAAATGAATTAGTCATTCTAGTTTTAAAAACTAATTATTTAGTCTTTTTAATTGGTACCGTGTTGATCTATACTATTTTAATAATTTTTTATTTTATAAATTTTTTTTTCATCGATCTTTTTATATTTTTACTTATTTTTATTCCTTTTCTATTTCTTAAAAAAAAATTAAAAAATAGTAAAAATGACTAAATAATTGTTTTTTTGAAACTAGAGGGACTAATTAATTCGTCTCTCAAAGTAAGAGGGACTAATTTATAATTTATTGTTGAATAAGGTATAAACATTATAGAAAACCAATCATTATTTTTTTTGTTTTTCACACAAGCTCGAGATGATGAAATATAAGTCATATGTTTTCAAAATTTAGGATAAACATATATATTGAATTATCTTACTCTTATTGGTTAAAGTTAATTTCTCTAATTTGTCATTTTTTCTAAGAATTAACAAAAATACTAAAAACTTTGAGGTATTTACTATTTATGCCACTATTCATTCACACTAAATATACTAATCACATAGACTCATGTGTACTATCCAAGTGGTATTTTCATAATTTTTATGTTATCTTAAGGCATTTATATACAATTTTTTTCCGATGTTGCACTTTGATCCCTAATATTTTCAAAAGATTTTATTTTGGTTTTTAATTTGACTTGTATCATAGTTTGGTTTTTAGATGCAAAGAGAGAAAAAGAAAGTCACGATCCGTCCTAATTTTGACCTCTTTTTGTAATCACTTAGAGTTGTGTGTACTATACAGTAGTATTTTTGTTTTATGTTATCTTAAGGCATTTATATGCAATTTTTTTCAATGTTGCACTTTGATCCCTAATGGTTTCAAAAGATGTTATTTTGGTCTTTAATTTGACTTGTATCATAGTTTGGTTTTTAGGTGCAAAGAGAGAAAAAAGAAAGTCACGATCCGCCCCGATTTTGACCTCTTTTACCTTGATCCCGTATTTATATAGTTTATTTTGATGAGAAAATTGTATTCATAATGGTTTCAAGTTAGTAAATGGTTGGATGAGGTACATAAGAATTAAAAAAAAAATGAAATTTTCAATTTGATATATTTTGCTTTTTTTTTTTTCAAAATTATTTTTTATTATTAAATTGGATGCAAAAATTATAAGAAATCAATCATCATCATTATTATTTTTTTAAGTCTTTCACACAAGCCGGAAGTAATGAAATATATGTGATATATTTTCACAATTTAGAATAAACACACACACACACACATGTTATGAAATTAATTTTTAATTTTTTTATATAATTTTATTTGTTAATAAATATGATTCATTTATATATGTGTGTGTGTGTGTGTGTGGATTTTTGAATAAAATTCTAGAATATGATTATTTTATATTTTTTTAAAATATATTAATGTAATTCATATGATGGATTCTTATGATTTTTAAATAAGAATGTTAAAAAGCTAAAAGTATTTTTCAAATAATTTGTCTCAAACCTTCTAAAAATATAAATAATCAATTAAAAAATAAAATTTACGTATTTTATTTTCTTCTTCTCTATATAATCAAAATTTATCGAACTTGATTTTGTGGTTTTTTTTTCAATCTATTAAATTTAATATATTCCTTGAAAATTATTTTTTTAATATTTTTTATTTATGTTAAACTCTCTAAACCCATTGAGTATGGTTAATGATGTATAAAAAAATCAAGATCATTGATTTTATTAAAAATTAATTATGCATCTATACACATAACACCAACCATTTATTATTAGTTTTTTTTTAAATATTCTAAAATCAATTTCTTTCAAATAAAATAATATTTTAAAAGAACCACCTAATAATTCAAATACAACTTTGTATACTATTATTATTGATTTTTTTTTTTGTATATATATATATCTTTTAAACAATAATTTTCTCACAGCATTAGATAAGAATAAAAAAAATTCATTTGCTAATTTTTAGATAATTTTTTATATTAATTGTTATTTTATTTTTTCGATGCAATCTTATGAAAAAATATTGAGGTATTTTTAAAAATCTTAGATTAAATATTATATTTTGATTAGTGCTAGTTTTTATTTAAAAATCAATATATAAAAAAGAACAAATCGTATTTTTTAATTACAAAATTTATGAAAAATATAAGAAAGAATAAATTATAAAATTAGATTTTTTTATCTTTAAATTCAATATATTTTGATAAACTCATAACATAGTACATATTATTATATTAAAATAATTTTTTAAAATAATTTTATTTGTTCTATTCAAACCTTGAACATAACGCAAGCAACCAATTAATATTTCATTAGCCGTAACTTTGTTAAGAAATCAGTTCGTAAAAGCAGAACATAGCACTTCATGTAAGCCAGCCAATATTATAGCTTTACTGTATTCATACAAATGTTCGGTTGCAATAGTCAGACTTACAGCGACGAGTAAAACATAAGAATTAACTGATTAATTTTGAAATTAGAGAACCCTTTTAATTCATTTTGCAAAACTAGAGAAGTTAATCTATAAGTTACTCATAAAATCTATGTGTTCTATTCGAAAGATGTCTGAAGTGATGATTGTCCTTAAAATTGCCTGAAGATGAGATTATTGACACACCATTCTAAGTGGACCTGTTGCTTAGTTTAGTGTATTAAAACTCTTTTCTTTTTTCTTTTTTTCCTTTTAAATTATATGTTTAATATTTTAATTATTCATCCTTCTCAGAAACTATCAAAAAAGAAGGGACGAAAAAAAAAAAAGGAAAAGGAAAAGAAAAGAAGTTAGATGAAACGTGGGCTGCTTGAGGGTAGGGAATTACTGTTGGGAGGTCAGATAAAACTCCAACAATAATATATATATATATATCGGTTCGATTTTGGTATTTTTTTTTTTCAGTTTTCGATTAACCAAATTGGCTAAAATAAAAATCGAAACCGAACCGAATTGAGGTTTGGTTTTTTGGTTAAAAAACCAAATTTTTTGGTTTGTTTTTTCGGTTTTCGGTTAAAAATCGATTTTTTTTCTTCTAAAAATAAAATTGTTTTGCTTTTAAAAAATATCAAACTTGCATAATTAAAGATTGCATATTTCACATTTGATTTTATAAGAAAATTGTGTATGATTATTATTATTTTTCTATACTAAATTTGTTTTTATTTATTTTATAAACTAAATTAGTTAGGCTTCTCATTATTTTTTCAATCACGCTATAATTGGTTTTTTATTAATTTTTCATATTCTTTTTTTAATCTATTTATTTTGTGCATATTTTATTTTTGAATATATAATATGAAAAATCCAATTTTTAATTTATGTTTATGCCAATTTTAATACAAGGAGATAATTTTTTTTTCACGAGGTTTTAGAATTCACCCACACATAAATTTGTGTATTTATAAAGAATTACTTTATCATAGTCTTTTTTTTATTTTTTTGTGAGTCAATATAATATAATCAATTATTTTATTATTTCAATAAATAATTAATGGAAAATATTTCTATTTTAAGTAGAAAAAAATCATTAAAGCTATTGTTCTTTTAGTTAAAACCATAGGCGTCTCTTTGATTTTAAAAAAAAAAAAAGAGCTGGGGTATGTGTTTAAAAAAATAATAATAATAATTTGGTTTTCAGTGGAAACCGAATTTGAAAAAAAAAACCGAACCGAACCGAAATAATTTCGATTTTCGGTTTTGGTTTTTTTTTTTAATTTTTTTTAAAAACCAAACCGAAATTGCTAATTCAGTTTGATTTGGTTCAGTTTTTTGGTTTTAGCCAAATAATGCTCACCCCTAGCTGCTGTTAGTATATAGCTATTGCTTTTTTGCTCTTTCTCTTTTTTTCTCTCTAATTCTCTCTAATTTTCTATGTATGTATTATAATCATAAGGATCATATTTATAGAAAAACTTAACATTCTCATTTGGAAAATTTAAAACTAATTAGAAGCTACAAAATTTGATCACTTCCTTTAAATTTTATTTGATCAATTGGATAATAATTAAGAATTTTTAATTTATCTTTTTTGAATTGTTCAATTGCTTAATGAGTTAAAATTCTTAATAGTTTGAGATAATTCCGGAGAAGGATTTTAATTATAACAATTACTAGTCCCAATTGAACACTTCATTCGGTTTTTTTAATTAGAAAAACGAAGCAAACTAATTACAATAGCATTGCATCTTTTTGTTAAGACACCGACTAGGGAGATGCCCACCTAAAATCAAGCAAGCTAATTCCAACCACAACCTCAACTCCCAGCAAAACCTTATCCTATCAAACACCACAAATCACATCAACACTCACAAAAGCTGCCCTCATTTCCCACCTCAGAAAAAAAAACCCATGGCAACCCTTCACTTCACTCCATCTCCTTCCTTCATTCTCACCAGACAAAAGCTACCCACTGAGCTCTCATCTTTTAAACTCAACTACAAAGCTGGCAGAAACTTGAAGACTGTAGTTAGGTCTTACAAAGTGGTGATTGATCATGAAGGTCAATCAACAGAGCTGGAGGTGGAACCGGATGAGACCATACTATCCAAGGCATTGGACTCTGGATTGAATGTGCCTCATGATTGCAAACTTGGGGTGTGCATGACTTGCCCTGCAAAGCTCATAAGTGGCTCCGTTGATCAGAGTGATGGTATGCTCAGTGATGATGTGGTGGAGAGTGGGTATGCACTTCTCTGTGCAGCATATCCGAAGTCAGATTGTCACATTAGGGTTATTCCTGAAGAGGAGCTTCTGTCCCTGCAACTAGCAACAGCTAATGACTAAGTGCTTTCTATATCTTTTCGATTTCTGAAAGTATGCTATTCGTATATACCAAAAGAGCTTCATTAGAACTTAATCGCAATCTTTTTTTCCTTCCTATTCACATCTATCTTATCTTCGATAGTTGTTTGCCGATGACTGTAGCTTTTAAGTTGTATCTAAAATTAAATAGCAACATTTGGTAGCTAATTGATACTAACATTTGCTTATTTTTTTAAAAGAAAAAATTGCAGTATCGTTCTTACTGTGTAGTTGTTCCTGAAATAAATATCATGGAATTGATTCAGTCAAAATTATCTAAAACGTTTTGTTTGCTCACGGAAATAAATACCAAAAGTGCTTTATAGAAATTCAAAGGCTTTTGATTTTCAATTAATTGAACAAAGAAGTATTACATAATTTAGATTACGAAGATTCTATTGTCCCAATTTTGATTTGAGAATCGCTTTTGAAGTTTAATTCCATCCAGCCTCAGCAGCGTAGATTGACTGATAACACTACATTAAACTCTCGGCTACTAAGCTCTCGATTTTCTGGCTTAGCATTCTTAGGCACGGGAACAGGGAAGAGGCTGCAGAACGACCATTCTTATATGGAATTCGACCTATGGTTCTGAAAGAATACATACTCGATTTAGTTGCATAGCCTAAGTCTAGTTGGCATGGGTGGTGGATTGATGAGAAACCCTTGTGAATGGACCGTATTCTCCTATTTCTTAGTTTTGGCTTCCCCATAGAGCTACAGATCAATGCAATGGACTAGCATTGCGGAATTGAGCATCACCCTTTCCATTTCATTACCTAGGGACACTCACTTAAGAAAGAATGTATTCCTGTGATAGGATACCACAGCTTTTAGTGTTCTATAATTCACCTAAAGAGTAGGTAGTTCGATTCTTTTGATTCTTCTCTTCATAGTCAACTTTTGGGGGGATGCGGAGCATGATAAAGAAGAGTTGTAAACTATAGGACTTCTTATTCGAGTAGGAAGATTTCGGTTTTTCTCGTTTCTGAAATGATGCAAATTTCTCTTCATTCTGTTCTGCTGAGCGAAGGAACTGCCTAAGCATACTTTTTCGAATCCTTTTAAGTCTTCTTCTTGCATAGAAGAACGCAACCCTTGCAAAAACCGGGATTTTAGTAGTAGGCGGCATCCCCTCTTAGTTTTGAGTAGGTGGAACCATTCTGTTTTGGTTCTTCTCCACATTCTGACCGGGCGATCCAGGAATTTCCTTCTGATATGATAGGCCCGGCCACCTTCCCCCTATGCCTTATGTTTAGGGGCGGGATCCGTCCAAGAGCAATCTTGTGGTGGTACGGAACGCACGGACTCCGCGAAGGTCCCGCGCCCCCTTTACTAATAAGGAAAATAAAGCCTCAACCAGAACCACATTCCTTTTGCGTGCGAATGTAGCTAAGTGTCTGACTCATATGGTCATAGTTTCCTGGTACTCGTTTGAGCGCGTGTAAACCAACCCAACAAACAAGGATAGGCTGCCTCTCGGGGGATTCTTTTTTTTTTGCAGGCCCCCCCCCCCCCCCCCCCCCCCCCCCCGCGACTTGGCCCGGGCCTAAGTGAAAGTGAAGTGGTGGGCTTACCCATCCCAATCAGGTAGGGATGGCAATGGGGCGGCCATCCCCGTCCTGCTCCGCTATTAGAAAAATTTCCCCATCCCTAAATCTTACATCGAATGGAGCAAAATTTTTCATACCATTCCCGTCTCGAACGAGGACAGGGATCCATGCAGGGCAAACGAGACAAAAATTATTAATTTTTTTTTATTATTTTCATCTCATCTTATTTCATTTTACTATTAAATTTCAAACTATAGCAAAAATAATAATAGTTTATAAAAAAAATAAACCATAAAAGTCACTAATCATATATTTTATGTGAGATATAATTATAATTTTAATAAATAAATAAATAAAGCAAATGAGTCGGGACATGTAAATCCTATCCCCACCCTATCCTCGCTCGCGGGGCACGCCACCCCGTCCCATTCCTCGATCAATGCAAGGAATCACCGCATTGATCAAGGAAAATCGAGGCAGGGTGGGGCGAGCAGGCGAGGCTTTACCGAAGCGGGGCAAATTATGCTGGGATTTGACGTTGGATTTCAATTGCTCATAAGCAAACAATGGTAGCAGGCCAATAGTGATGATTTGTCATCGTAAGTGGACACCATTTTACCGTCAACTTGCAACATTTTTCGGTATAAATTAAATGGCATACTTAGGATTCTATGCAATTTTGCAGAGGCACATAATAATAATAGGATTTTGCATATATCAAACCCTTACATTTCAATTTTTTTTTATTAAGAATTTAAGTTTTTTTCTGTCTAATTTAAAAATTCAACTCTTATATTGTTATTTCAAGTCCTAAAATACCACATAAGCACACGTGACAAGTTTTAACTAATAACAGCTTATACATGTCATGATAAGTCCAAATTAAGTTATTCAATTGGCTAGAATGCACACATGATAAACTATCATTGGTTAGAACGTACACGTGGCACGTTGTCATTGGTTAGGATTTGAAACAACAACATAAAAATAAAATTTTTAAATCGAACAAAAAAAATTAGGATCTCAATAAAAAAAAATTCAAATTATACAGAATGTCAAAATACATAAAATCCAATAATAATAATAATAATAATAATAAAGGGTCAACTACATCGTAAGTAAATTACAAGAGGCAATTGACTATTTATGGTGAAAGAAATAGTTCGATTTTTCTCTTATTGAGACTATTGCAAAATCTGGAAGGCTCAAGGTTCAAATGTCATGCTTTCTGCCTCTCGCTTCACAGAATCGAACAGAACAGAGGACAGATATCTCTCTCCAAAGCTGGGAAAGACCACCTGCACAAAACAAAAATGGTTAAAAGTAACAAATGGCTGATACAAATCGAACTTCCACATTGCAGAAAGCCAGAAGAAAAGATTCCCAAACATTCAAATCATGCAAACAAAATAGGTTATCCCATTCTTATTTCCCAAAGGGTCGTTAGTTTCATTGAATCATTTGAACTTTGCCAGCCCAGCTATCATACAAAAGGTTCTAAAAAAAAAAGAAAAAGAAATGAGAGGAAGGAGAAGCATAGGCTCAAGTTAACGTTCTCCTGCAATAGCTCACTAAGGGAATGTCATTAGCCATAACATTGTTAGGAAGTCAATTTGTAGAAGCGGAACGTAACACTTCATTTAAGCCAGCCAATATTATAGCTTTACTACATTCACACAAATGTTGGGGTGCAATAATCAGACTAACAGTAATGAGTTTTCCTGCATTCTCTGGCCTCTTTGCAATCTTAATTGCAGCAGCTGCAGCAGCACCGGATGATATTCCTACCTGAGAAGGAATTTCCCACAATCAGCGTGATGTAAAGGACAAAACAGCAGCAGTGGCAGCAACATACATTAGAGATATTTTATGAGATAGTCTAAGATCACATCATAGAAGTTACAGTTGCAGACTCTACAGGTTGGGAACTTACAAGCAAACCTTCTTTTAATGCAAGAAGCTTTGCAGTTTCAATTGCTTCATCACTTGATATCTGCAAGATTGTGTAAAATTAGTTGGGGAACAGTCAGGGACATTCAAACTAATGATAAAGATGTAAGAGAAGATGCAAAACAGAGCTATAGTTCATATCTGCGCATCAGATATTTGCATTTCTGAGAAGCAGACATTTCATTGTCTCCATTCTAATCTGAAATATTAGTTTACCAGTTTGTGAGAGGATACAAAGCAAGCTTTAAACCAGCCAAAATAATTTGGTAAAATTTGGCAATAATTTGCTGGGAAAAGTGCAGAATAACATGAGATGAATCAAAACCAATCCTCAACTATGAAGCTAATTCATGAAATGATGATTGCTGAATTACTAAAATAATAATATATGCAATCTTTTGAGCTTACTTGAACAACTTCATCAACGATATTGACTTCCAGAACCCCGGGGACAAAGCCAGCACCTATTCCTTGGATCTTATGTGGACCTTGACATAAAGGCATGCATGAATCAGTGAGTTAGTAATAGCCTATATATAAAAAAAGGGTCCCCCTTCTTTAATTACTACATTAACAAAAAATAACTCTTTTGCATCCCAAACAAGGAAGCTGGTTACAAGCTGAAATAAACTAGAATTATTTAGATCCATGGAAAGCAGGCTCATCAAGTAAAATGTCATAGAAAGTATTTTTGCTAGAGGAAATCAACACACTGTTTGCATAAAATGACACTAGTTGTTCCAACATTTATGTTACCATAGAAATGTTTTCATTTCGCTCCTGAATAATGCAGTCATGTCCAAAACCTTATGGTACCAATTTCATAAATGATTGAAACTATTTGCCTATATAGTTGATTATGTAGGAAAACTGAAAAACAGCACATGCAAGGAATATGAATCATCAAGCATGTGTTCATTAAATTTTAAAAATAACTCACCAGGTTTTCCTCCAGATAAAATGGGGCTCTCAACTGGTTCCACTCCATATAGCTACATGGAAGGGAAAACAATGAAAACCTTCAAAATGGGAGGGAAAAAAAGGAACAAAAACATCGAAGCAGATGTGTTTAAATTCTGTTCTGACAATGCTCATGAATAAAACTTTACTGTCATTCAACATAATAATATACGGCCAAGCATACCTTAATGTTAGGATTCTGCTCTTTTAGGTATTTCCCGGCACCTGTTATGGTTCCACCAGTTCCTATCCCAGAAACAAGGGCATCAACTTTCCCACCAGAGCCTTTCCATAATTCAGGTCCAGTGGTATCATAATGAACCTACACCAACAATGACATGCATCAGAACAATGTTGACCGGCAACCACTGACTCATCAAAGTAATGGTTGAGTAAATACCTTAGGATTAGCGGGGTTTTCAAACTGCTGGAGGATATAAGCATCGGGTGTCTTTGCCTTAATCTCCTCAGCCTTCTGAACAGCCCCTTTCATGCCTTTAGCAGGATCAGTGAGAACCA